GAGGAGGAGAAGGAGGAGGAGAAGGAGGAGAAGGAGGAGGAGGAGGAGGCAACTGACATAAAATCTAACAACCCTCACCTGGCAGGTGGGGAACAATGGGATGTACATGGATGTACCATCTGAATCCATCTGATAGTCAAACTTGGCAATGGACAATCGCCTATAAATGGAAGTTTTAATCGTGAACTCGACTATGAATTGAAAATTGTTATTTTCAGAGGCTACCCCATTCTCTCATGCTGTAACACCGCATTGTGTTCGTTGCGAAACTCTTAGTCCTCGGGAATATGGTAATATAGCTGGCTGAGAAATCTTACAACCGGATAGTTGCTGGAGAATTTTGCAATGGCAGGGACAAAACCTCGGTACCCGGTACTGTAGCTGTTTTCACCAAAATTCCGTGCTAGTTCTGGAGACTCATCCCTCCAACATACCTGGTATGTCATCAGCTTTTTGATATCCAATCATCATATATATATATATATCTATCATCATATATCCCAGTTATCTCATGAATGTGTCCCCATCATTTCAGACTTCTGGAAAATTCAAGATGCAATTTTTGGATCTTAGGAACTCTGAACCCATAATTATCTGGTTGGTGGTTTTAACCATCTTGAAAAATATTGGTCAATGGGAAGGATTATCCCATATATTATGGACGAATGAAACATGTTCCAAACCACCAACCACATCAGGCCTATGTAAGGAAATATCATGGAATATCCCCACAAAATATGGCCTTAAATGCTACAGGACCTCAGTTTGAAACCACCAACCAGCATAATTATCCCATTCTTACTGCCTCTACAGCCATGAACCCGGCCCGGCCCCATGAATCTCCGTCCTCTGCAGGCGTTCCTCGTCCAGCTCTGCATGGTCCAGGGGAACGTTGCGGGCAACCTCATGGCATATAGCCATCCCAAAATAGATGCAGAACAGTTAGGACACCTGGAAAAGTGAGATACCGGTATCTTTTTCATAATTAGATGGTCTATGATGTCCTATTTATCATTGATGATCCCAAACATTAAATTGTATTGAAATAGATAAATAGGACATAATAGACCATAATAGACCATCTAATTCTATAGCTTTGTATTGATTACTCATCTATGGACTCATCTATAGACCATCTATAGACCATCATTGATGATCCCATCATATTATACTATAGGTTGGGATTGTTTATACTATATTTCCATATATTTCCCAAAAATCATCTATTTCTCATAACATGATGACATATCTTTTTGGGGCTCAAACAATGATCCCAATGGATTGATCCCATGGATACGGTGCATGGAAGAAATCATGTACCTTGGATGGTTGAAACCCCCAAAAAAATAGGGATGTTTACCACCTATCAACTGGTGATTCGGATTTCTTCCATACACCAGAATTGATGTATCCACATATAAATGGTGAACTGTCCATTGCCATAATTGATTACCAGAAGGTAAGCATTCATGTTCCCTATTACACATGGCAATGTTAATCAGGTTTGGCGCTAAATCATCCAGTTTTGCACACACCATTCTTGTCCTAATGTTATCGCCATAAAACCTATGTCCTCATCGCTACGTTGGGTTTTATATCGCATATGAACATAATAATATATGTTTGTGCTAAATATCCCATATACAACCACTATTACAGTGGGATATCAAAGGTTTTATATAATATTAATAACCACATATATAATGAGCATTAATGGTTTTATATCATAGCTCATTAATGTTCATTATATAACCACTATTACAGTCATAAACCCATGAAATTCCCATGACCCATGACTGGTCCATGGGTAGCCAATCAGAGGCCCCCACTGAGTGCCCCCACACGTCCGGGCAGGAGTTTCTCCACCAAAGGGTTGGCTCCATTGGTGCCATCATAGAGCTCCATCAGCCTACCAAAAACGTGGCAAGATGCGGATCTGGTATAGCTCAGTTGCAGTTTGTTCTTCACTTTCAAATAAAGGTGCCGGTGACGATGATTATTATTATTATTGTGATTATCACAATCACAATGATAGTAACATTATTATGATGGAATCACCAATAATCACCAATAATCACCAATAATTGATGATTAATATTACTATCATTGTGATTGTGATTATTGGTGATTATTGGTGATTCCATCACAAATCACAATGATTTCCCTGATATCTCCTGACTGAAAAATCCTCCCCATCCCACCCCATCCACCACCCCATGAATTTCGGCGCACCTGTGGAGCTGTAAGTCACTGCAGTCCTCCAAGCTTTTCATCGCCGCGTCCAAAAGATCTTCGTAGTTCCCCACCACCCACGCCTGGCAGATGTCAAGGATAGCCCCAAATTTGGAAACGAAGCAACTGACTGAGCTGATGGGTAATAAGTTAAAGATGCGATTAGATATCTTTAATAATGTGGATAATTATGATGGGTACTTTATATAATAAGGTTAAAGACACAAATTCAGCCTGAAATCTGAAATTGGATACGACTTCAACTCGAGCGAAGAATAGATTTGCAAGGAATGATGGATACTAGCTGCTCTAGTTGGGACGCAAAACAAGCAAAGTCAGCAAAGTGGCTGGTGGATTCGCCACCTACCCCAATGAGATCGGAGATTCATGTGACGCACATATCGAATTCTATCGAATTCCTTGGGTGATATCCCCATGACCAATGTGACCAACCATGGAGAAGCATCGAACTCACTGAATGGAGGATCCAGGCCGCCGTCCTTGTCCACAAACAGCAAGTCTCCTATTGCCACGTCACGCCTCACCTGAGTGCGAGGACAGGTGAACCCCCAAAAGTATTGAAGATATTGTACTCCATACCATGCAAAAAAAGATAGGAAAGGTCAGATTTATTGTGATATATTTCTATGAATTGGATTTTTGATGGTTTTTGCCAACTTCTAAATCGTTTTGGGGGTTTACCACATTAGTCAATTTGGGCTGATCGTTTCAAGTAGGGATAGTCCTAGGGTTCCTGTCAAGCACCGCGCCGCTGCTGTCTGTCGCCCCAGGGATGAGGCTTGAGGCTAAACAGTGGGACGCCATGAATCTTGACTTTTGATATGCTACCCTCAGGTAGTCAAACCTGGTAATGACAAATCCGGTATAAATGGAGGTTTAGTAACAGTAAGAAAGTCATCTATGTTTGCGGGGATTGTCCATTGCCATGTTTGATTTCCGGAGGGTATCTTTGTTCTCCAAGGCCCCCAAAACCGCAAAAACGTGTTGGTGGTCAAAGGCTACTTCAGAATAATGTCGAGCCATTGGATTTTACCCTGCCAAATCCCAAAAAGGAATCAGAAAACATACAGTATACCATCCGAAACCAAAACCAAGAAACTTGTAGTTTGTAATGTTGTACAGAGACAAAGAGTAGGCCAACATAACCCTGCGAAAGCCAAAGAATTCTTTGACCAAGTTATCAAAGCCATCTTCGACAACCAACATGAGTCACCCAAACAATCAGAAATATGAGTCACTCCACCGGTGAAAAAAACCCTGGGTTCATCCCATTAAAAATCCTGCCATTTTGTGTTTTAACTAAACCCATTCATCTGGAGAATATCCTATCATTCCCATAGCTGGGTAATAACTTTCATGTAAAAAAAAAACACGGATCCAATTCCGTACGAATGTACATCCAAGTCATAGTACTATGAGGATCTGTGGAACCATACAGTATAGTACTATAATGTACTATATATATATATAGTATAATATACTTAATTTTATAATATACTTAGTTTAAGTGGTTAGTTGGTTAGTTATAACTTATAACTAATAGTCAAATGGTCTAATGGTATACATGTGTACTAATAATACTAATAGCTATATAACAGTGATAACGCAATGATTGATCAACACGCAGACAAATAGTTCCTGCTAGTGGCTGGCCTGACACAGAGTCAGACTAATTAGTCAACTAAGAGTTCTGACGACTGTAGTTCTGACCAACTGATAGTGGAACTGGCTAATAGATCTAATAGTTCTAACTAATCAGTCAACTCAGTGTCTAGGGTCCAAAGTCATCTATAAGCGCTCTCCCCCAAACGTGGCAACATCGTGTACAACATCTACTGGACCGAAGTGCCAAAAATGGGGAAAGGGACCCATTATTGTATGATGTTCATCTCATCTCTTTAATATTAAACACCCCCATCTGGTTGGTGGTATACCTACCCTTCTGAAAAATATGGCTTCGTCAGTTGGGATGATTATTCCATTCCCAACTGTTTCTGGAAAGCCATAATCCAGCCATGTTCCAGTCACCACCAACCAGCCATGGTACCCTCTGGTAAACTAACGTAACTATGGAAAATCACCATGCTATTCATGGGAAAACTCACTATTTCTATGGCCATTTTCAATAGCTTTTTGTTAGTCACAACCAGAGGGTATAGTGATTATTAACCATCATTAACCATCATTAACCATCATTAACCATCATTAACCATCATTAACCATCATTAACCATCATTAACCATAGATTAACCATCATTACCCCATGGTATGATCCAAAAATCATGTGGAACTTCCCTACATCCACCAGCCATGGTCCCCTACCTGGGCAACCCCGACCGCCAGGCCCCGGCCGAAGCGGCCCATGACGGCGGTCACCGGCTCGCTATAGGCTGGCGGCGGAAAGCAGGGGCGTTTTTTTTTGGGGGGGGACCAGAGATATGGAGATGTTGAAAGAAATTCATAATGATTTATAATGATTTATAATGATTTATAATGGTTTATAATGATTTATAATGAACTTATATGTGAATTATATGTATGACATGTCTGGATTTTGGGATGAAGGTTTGATTTTGATCCGTTTCCAATTGTTGTTCATAGCAAAACAACTAGAGTGCGGTAAAAAGAGAAGTATGTAAGCTGAAACTGCAATCGATTTGGTTCATGCTGGCTTCTTTTGTGCACGAATCAAATAGCCTCTCCAATTCAGCCAGTTTCTCTTAGGATTCTTACCCCACATTTTCGCGTTCGGTGTGAAAAACAAAGACATAGACTTCAAACTGATCATTTCATGCCAGAAAGAACCTACCTATACCATCTGGTTATTTAACATTTCGCCATGGAAAATCCACCCATTGCCATGCTATTAAGTTCGGTAAACCATCTATTTCGATTAGGGCCATCGTAACTACCATGGCTGGCCCTGTTAGTCATAACCAGGCCGGGTATAGATGATTCTCATTGATTTTCCCATATTTTCCCATATTAACCATCTATAAATGGGCCATGGCTTCCATGGCTATGTTAGTCTCATGGCTATCAAATGGGGAACATGGTGATCAACAGGCTGGGATCAAAGCCCATGTGTTTCCCCTGGCTTTTCTCCTGTGAAAAAACCAGAAACTCGGCCGGGTTGGCCAATGGAGGCCATGTCTTTAGATCATGGCTATCTAGACCCTCCAAGTAGCCATAAAAATTGGCAAAAGAATGCAAAAGATGGAAAGTATTGGAAAGGACTAAAATGATCTACAATCATTATGGGGTAAAATCAACATACGATGTTCTATGGCTACTTGGAGAGTCTACAGCTACATGGATATTTAGCCCCTAATCCTAGGCGCATCGGTCGGCCTGTAAGTGGCAGGTGCACAAAGGTTTTGGGCGAACCCAACAAGGCATCAGGGTCAGCCTTTCAGGGACGGGTTGAAACAAGGAATCCAACAAGGCCCAACTTCATGTGAATCCACACATCAAGGTCAACATTTTGATGGTTAACATTCCTGTATGAAAATCAATTGATTCATTTGAACAAACCACTAAAACAAAGAATGCCTAACATTCATACAACTCCACCTTTCAGGCATTCTTCATTTGGGGTGCGAACATGACATATCATGATGGGAAGGATGTTGCTGTGTCCGAATGCGAAACAACTCGTTGCGAACGTTGCGGACCCTGAAGATTTCGGCCCACTCGTACTTTCCCGAGAGCTGCTCCTGATCGGACGATTGGAAGCCACATCGACTTTTTTTTGACATCAAGTTCTTTAGCCCAACTTGATAGACCCAGAATTTCACCCACCCACGAAATCATCCACTTGCACGCTGTATTTCAATGATGTTTGTTCCGATTCTAAACAAAGCATCCTGGACTCCGAATGTCAAACATACTCAGTTTCCCTAGCAACTCCAAAACAATTGGGTCTATTTTCTTCAATGATTATATAACGCCAAAAAAACAGAACAGGTTGGATATACCATGATTTACCAGTATTTTGGGATTGAAATTTACCAATTTCATCCAATTTCTATCTTTGTGAAAAAAGTACTAAATAGGGGCCACATTTTGCCACTTTGCTGGAAGTACGGTATCTCTTCTGTTTCGCAGTTGATCGTATGTTGTTCGAACCTATGCCATAGACCTTTACTGACATAAGGTTCCTTCATATGAATATCATGGCAACAGTGACACGCAGAAGGTTACACACATTGCAAACCACTTAAGTCAGAATACTTGCTTGAGGACTTTATCGTTCCTTCCTTAGGATATGTAATGGCAAGGGTAATTGTCCTTTTCCTTTCTCCTTTTTCCCCAACAGCGTTAGCTTGGGGTCTTCAGCCAAAGTAAAGGTCTCAGAGCAGGTCGGAGCAGCCAAAAGCCGGATTCCCAAAGTTCCCAGGTTCCCACGATAGGGTTAACAAGCATCGTTCCCAAGCAAGGTTCCCAAGCAGGGTTCCCAAAGGTTCCAAAGAACACGTTCCCCAAAAATTCCAAGGGTTTCCAAGAACAGGTTCCCACGCAGGGTTCCCAAGAGCAGGTTCCCAAGCAAGGTTCCCAAAGGTTCCAAAGAACAGGTTCCCAAGCCAGGTTCCCAAGAGCAGATTCCCAAGCAAGGTTCCCAAGCGAGGTTTCAGTAAAAAGTCCCCAAAAAGGTGTCCAAGAACAGGTCCCCAAGCAAGGCTCCCAAGAGCAGGTTCCCAAGCAAGGGTCCCAGGCACAGGTTCCCAAGCAAAGTTCCCAAGAACAAATCTCTAAGCAAGGTTTTCTTTTCAGGAACAGGTTCCCAAGCAAGGTTACCAAGCAAGGGTTCCCAAGCAAGGTTACCAAGACAAGGTTCCCAAGCCAGGTTCCCAAGAACAGGTTGCTAAGCAAGGGTTCCAAAAACAGGTTTTCAAGCAAGGTTGCCAAGAACAGGTTCCTAAGCAAGGTTCTAAGCAAGGTCTCCAAGAACAGGTTTCCAAGAAAGGTTTCCAAGCAAGGTTTTTGGAATAGGTTCTCAAGGACAGGTTTCCAAGAACAGGTTCCCCGTTTCCAGGAACAGGTTCCCAAGCGAGGTTACCAAGCAAGGGTTCCCAAGCAAAGCTCCCAGGAACAGATTTGCAAGCACGGTGTCCAGGCACATGTTTTCAAGCAAAGTTCTCCAGATCAAATCTCTAAGCAATATTTTCAGGAACAGATTCCCAAGCAAGGTTACCAAGCAAGGTTTCCCAAACAAGGTTACCAAGAAAAGGTTCCCAAGCAAGGGTTCCAAGAACAGGTGTCCAAGCAAGGTTGCCAAGAACAGGTTGTCAAGCAAGGTTTCCAAGAACAGGTTCCCAAGCAAGGGTTCCAGGAACAGGTTCGTGAAATAATTAGGTTCCCGAGCAAGGGTTCCAAGAACAAGTTTTGCAAGCAAGGTGTCGAGGGACAGGTTTCCAAGCAAAGTTTATTTTGTTATTTTGTTCCAGCGATGACATGCCCACTATTCAAGCTTTGTGTGGGGCACTGCGGTGTGTTCAAACGCGCATTTGAAAACTGAGACAAAGAGAGCTGCAAATTAATAACTTCACTGCCGAACCGACAGGATACACAATCATAAGGCTTACCTCAGCCAGCTCTCAAACATGATTGCGACAAACATTTGGTGACTTTTTCCCTTAGTCGTTGCTGTTGGGGATATTCTTTGGGCTTATTCTTCTTAAGGTGATTCCCAGAGATCTCCAGAGATTCCTGGAGATCGCGAGATCGGAAAGGGAAGGAGCAAACATATTGAAAGAAATGTAATACATAGCTCCTGGAGGCGGGGGGTGGCGTAAAAAAAAACATGCCCCCCCCCTCCCACCTTCCCTCCAAAGCTCCACAATTCTCAAAATCCTCATTTGGAGCCTTCGGGAGCCGTAAAAAATCTTCGTTTTGGAGCCTCCCCAAAACTGGAAAAAACCTCTATTTGGAGGTTCCCGAAAGTTCAAACTCTTCATTTGGAACTTTTCGGAGCTGGAAAAATCCTCATTTGGATTCTTCCATAGCTTCAAACTCTTTATTTGAAAGTACTGGTATTCGGTGCTTCGAATCTTCAATTAAACAAATGCAGCTTCAATATCTTTATCATGAGTCTTTTGTAGCTTCTGAACTTACGCTCATTACTTCATCAGATTACGGACTCCTCTCCTGCAACAAGCTTTCTCAACAAGCTTTATTTCTTTATATAATTTGAATAAAAAATCATGTTATCTTTGGTTGGTAGCCTGTCAACTAATCTGATGTCATTTTGATGAAGCAACCTGTTAGATCATTTGGCTTCATCATCGTCGTGGCCACTATGCTGTCATAAAGCTGTTTAGGGTATTTAGTTACAATCCAAGTCTAAAGAATTGTCATTTCAATTCTGACTTCAAGTAGAATTAGCAATAGAGCTATGGCTTTCCAAAGTTTAGAACAAAAGATGGCAATGCATAACAAGGTGCAATGGTTACTTCCATTGATTGTTTGCCAATATGCCTGGGGAGGATAATGCCAAAGAAAACCAGGATAACCCTTTTTACCATAATTTGATCTGATAATAGTTCCACTACTTTCCGATTGGAAGGAAGGCTTTAGCATAAACTTTAGCTCTAAACCTGTTTCACTTTGTATTGAAGATCTGCTCCTGGCCGCTGGCTGTATGTAGGCACATCCAGCTGGATGTGGTATATTTTATGTCATGACTGGCAACTACGGCAACTACAGGCTACCTCTATAGCCAGGCTGAACACATTATTTGATCAGCACTTTTTACGCATAGATGTTGTTAGCATAACAATCAATACGACATTGCACAACAAAAAGCGTTCTGCAAGGGTATCCGGGTATCCTTAATGACAGTCGTACGCAATTCTGAAAGTATGAAGGCGCATAATGTACAGATATGTGCTTTGCCTGCATTGTTTGCATTTGACACTATTTCTAAGCTTTTTGTTTGCTTGCAGTGTTTGTTTCTGAGAGAGACATATACAAGTCAATGCCACTTTCAATTTGTCAAGGTGACTCCTATTGACAAGAGTAGCATGCATACAAGGATTTCTTCAAGTGCTTCCTATCTCAAACTCTAAGTTTATGGAATGGTTGCGCTATGTGTTGGATTGAAGCTGATCTCTGCTACGTGCATATGGGATTGACTTTACCTTGGTGTTGTTCTATGATGATTTGGCAAAAGTATTCTTACGCATTTCATGTGCATTCTTTCAGGTGCATTAGACAGATAATGTCAAAATGTTTCAGAAAACAAAATACTATAAATATAAATATAAAGTATAAACAACATAAATGATCAAGAACCCTATTTTTTTCATTGAAACATGGTGCCCCTATTTGGTACCGCTCTCGTCTTTTTGGAGGTTGCTGTAGCCATCCTAGGAGCTACCCCACCTTTTGCAGAACAAAACACCTGAGATTGAGTCCCATTGATTTGCCACAACCCCAAACATGTTTCTTTACTATTAAAATAATTTAAAGAAAAATAACTCTTAAAACTTCATATAACTATGATTTTCAAAATTACTATCACTATTCGATTGTTCTTCTTTTATTGCCCCAGTATGATCTCCATTCTCACCAGCAATCCCCCACGGTATCCTCCAAGTGCTTCAGCGATGTCTTGACACCGCGCGCGCATTTCCTCTTCGTCGACTCGTGGCCTTTCCGATTTCGAATGGTAGAGGACAACATTCCATCCATTGTCATTACCAATCCACATGGTGGTTTCCGAAAAAATACGGCTACCCCCAAATCATACCTAATTGGTGGTTTCAACCCGCTGAAAAACATAATATATTCAGTTGGGATGATTATTCACAATATGTGGAAAAAAAATGTTCCAAACCACCAACCAGTAAAGCAGTCGTCATGGATGACCGTCTGACTTAGTATTGAAACAAATCGTCATGGTGACGACTGGGGATCCCTTATTTTGAGACACCCTGAGACCATGAATTCCAGGAATATGCTGGATGGACATTAGTGAATTGCTATGTAATGGATTAATGCTGGTAATTGGACATTACCAGACAGGATTACCAGCATTATCAGACAGGTAAATGCTGGACATTCATTATGACACTGGATTAATTACCTCTGGATTGATGCTATCAATGGATTGCTTTACTGGTTGGTTGTTTGGAACATGGCGTTTATTTTTCCATTCAGTTGGGAATGTCATAATCCCAACTGACTAATATGTTTCAGAGGGGTTGAAACCACCAACCAGTTTAAAAAGAAAACAAACATACCGGTGAAACATGTTGAAACCATCCTGTCTTTTGCACGCAGTTGAGCCCGCAATGTTGGCTTGGCAATCCGGACTGGGAGGTGGTTTGCAAAATTGGATGAGCTGGACATCTCTGGATATGATCAAATTATTATATACATATAATATATTATTAAGATTTATTAATTACATCATATGTATATATATATATACATATTAATTATACCAGTAGTACCGCACAAGGCGGTGGCGGAAGTTTCAAAAATAAGAAACCTATAGGAGAGGTTGGTTGTTGTGAATCAGGGATGGCAGAGCGAAGCCACTGCTGGATTGAAAGGTGCTTGATCTCTCTCACTCTTTCTCTCTCTTTCTCTGACTATCTACCTACCTACCTATCTATTTTCTATGTATCTATCTATCTCTCTATCTAGCTATCTATCTCTCCCTCTCTCTCTTTCATTTGATGACCCTATCTATCTACCTATCTATCTATCTATCTATCTATCGACCTATCTATCTATTGTATCTCTCTCTCTATCTATCTCTCCGTCTATCTATCTCTCTATGTATCTATCTAGCTCTCCATGTATCGATCTATGCATCTATCGATGTATCTATCTATCTATCTGTCTATCTATCTATCTATCCATCTATCGATCGATCTATTGTTGTTGTTGTTGTTGTTGTTGTTGCTGTTGCTGTTGCTGTTGCTGTTGTCGTCGAAGTTAGGGTAGTTGTGTTAGTGAAGGTACTTAAGTTAGTCAAGTTAGTTAAGTTAATCAGTGTATACTTTTTCGACATCAGCACGTCAAAAAAGGCTCAAAACCCTTAGTTGTTTACACTTTTGACTTCGAAATGTGCTTCGCGCCACAACGGCGTGCACTTTTTCGACACTTTTTCGACATCTGAACCTCCAAAAGTGGTCCGAGACAGCCAGTTTTTAACACTTTTGACTT